CCGACCACCGAATCACCTATCCAGAGTGATGTCTTCGTCGAGAAGAACGGCGCCGCCGAGGGCGAACTACCGGTTTCGACTGCGAAACACGACGACCCCACGTACATGGCGATCGTGATCGGCGTGCTGACCGCCGTAATACTTTCACTCGCCGTAGCGATATTTCTGATTGTTTCGCGACACAGGCAACGCAAGTGCTTCGCCAGCCCTATGACTGGTAAAGCCCCTTCGCATTTAGGATCCACCTGCGCCACCGTCGAGAAAGGCGCAGCTCTGATGGCGTACACCTTAGAAGATGATGAAAGGTACAATCGATTACTTTATGAAAAATGAAAAAATAACTGCAAAAAGGAAATGAAACTGCTAAAGATAATACGATCTTAAATAATAAGAAGAATCCGAGATGTAATTTCTTCAATGCGCTTTCACGTGTACCTTACATTAATATAATTTTTTTATGATTAAAATACATTAATTGTTGAAAGATAAAATAAAATTGCATGATTTTAAAAAATAATATTCGAGCAAAAACAATATTTTTCACGCTACAATATTCCAATTAAAATATTTAAATGATATTTTAAATAGCTTTAAAATAATTCAATTTATTAATTATTGGCAGTAAGCTCAAACAACTTTAAATGGTCTTTATTACTTTTTACCGACATTCTCATTTATTGCGCGGCCATGGACGTCTAGACAGCCGGATATAGGGTCATGCGAATACTGGCTTTTGCATCGCGAAGCGTGTTTAATGATAATACACGACCGCCGTATGTGGCCGTATTCCTCATTTCTTCCAAGTTTGTGTCCACAGGACACATGCTCAGATGACGGAAGCGGCCTTCCAATAAACTTTCCATCCACCATGCTCGTTAGCGAACGTCCAATAACGTCCAATAACGGACATCCTCGGGCAATATATCGAGTTTGTGCGGCACGAATGTCTCCAAAGGAGATCCTCCGGCCGCCTCGTAACTCCGAAGCATCCCGCACCAGTTTCGGCATCGATCCCCCCCTTCCGAGTTCCCTGTCCGCTTTGTGCAATCCGATATTGCAGTTGCGAGCTTCGTACCGAAAGAGAGAACGTGTAACGTGCAACTTCAAGTAGGCGTACAAATGTTGCGCTGAGCCTTTGACGGACCGCGTGTTCCGCACACATAATACTAAAATTTCCAAGCGGAAAATATACTGCTCTTGAAAACCGAAGATCTGTATGATCCGCAAAGTCAGAGTTATTTCAATACATTTTAGATGCGCAATTCTTTTTAAATGCGATTAAACGGGGATTATAACATCTCACCGCATTAATATATTACGGTTTAAATGAAGCTATTTATATAGGATTGATAAAAAATGCTTACTGTACGAGGTAATTTGATGTATACATAAGTGATAGACAATATCATGTACAAAAAGGAATATACGTTATATCACGAAATGAAATATATAGCTTATTTCGTCGTGATTATCAGAGAACGAATAATATAGGGTAAAGCGGGGTAATTTAATAGAAATTTTCAAATTATATAATAGATTGAGGTCGTATAATGTATTCAATGACAAATGCAAAACATATACTACTATTGCATCAACAGTGTACGTTTGATATGTTTGATTGAATAGACTATGCGACCTCAATCTTTTATACAATTTGAAAATTTCTGTCATCTATCTAAATTATCCCGCTTTACCCTATTATAGCTACAAGAAATTATTGGCCATCGCGACCTGATGATAAATGGAATGATCTCAGACTATTAATCAATCGCTTCTCTTTCAGATACGCAGGCGGTTCTCTGCCGACTTTGCCTCTCGGAAATCGTCTTCTAGACATCGTGAAGTTGGACGACTACCAAGAGCCATATCAGGCACTAAAGTACGCTCCGTACTACAGCTACAGCACCGTCGTTATGGAGATGAAAGACATGATGCTGAACAACAAGGGCACCAACATCAATCACTCAGGTATGCGGCGCTCGAACGCATCTACACCTACGGCGTCTACATCTACATCCACTCGCGACTATTTGCATACGCACATACTCATGTAGACACGCACATTTACACACACTTACGTACGCACTTCGCGTACACACATTCAAACGCCGCGGCTCCTGTGCCAACGGCTGTGCACCTACATACGTCCCGGCAACAAAGCATTCGCCCTGACCGCAATCAATACACCATCCCCTTCTGCGCTCGCTCCTCCTTTGCTATATCATCCGCAGCAGTGTACGCAAACGGTGCAGTTGACACGTCGTACGATTATGCGGTACCGGAACTCGGCACGGTGCCCCTGCTCAATCAGGATGCCGGCGCCGGCCGCGGGGCGACCGTCTCCAACGCCACTGGCGATCAGGACAGCTTCTTCTCCAAGAACTCGCGGACCAAGACCGAGGACAAGAAGGTGACAAATTCGCATTTCTTAATCCTCACGAGTTTGATTTTATATTTTACGTTAGTTAATTATATATATATGCTAGACAAACCTAGATTTTAATGCAGAGTTGGCTACAAGAGTCCAATAAGTGGAAAAAATTATGATAGATTCTGAATTTTACCGTTCCAGACTTATTCAATGAAATGAAGTAGCGAATTACGAAAATGATTAATATATAATACTAAAAAATATGTTTATATACTTTATGCAAAAAGATATTTTACTTTAATTATAGAGGAGAAGAGAGATGGTATTATGGCCAATGTATATTATAGCCTCCCTTAATATCTCCGTTATTATATAGCGAATCCTAATGATTACTTATGGAATTAGTTCAGTAGCTCGCCGTTACACCATGACGCTAATATTACCAATATTCAATATATGTATTTTTAAGTGTGTTATTTGCTATTTAACATATTACTTGATTGTATATATTTTGAGTTATGTAAATTTAAACAATAGCATGACATTTTGCTAATGTGGCCCTCTATGGATATTGATTACTCAACTCTTTTTTTGAAGTTTTCATATCGAAATAATTATTTGATAATCGATTGTAGCTCTACTGTTAATCTATAGTTTATATTACGTGTACTATCTTTATAGTACTGAGATTTTTAGTACTGAACAGTTTATATGCAGGAATTATATGAATGTATATACATTCATTTGCATACATTTTAAAATGTTTTACTTTTTTGGTAACCAAATATTTTCTACACAAAACTAATATTTTAAGGCTTTTTTAATGGAAGGCCACATTACCATCCATTTTTTTCTTCAAGTTATTATGCAATGTCACCACATTTTTATTAGTAATATCCTAAGTAATAAATATTTCGTAACTTTGAGTTCAAAATCGATTCAACAACATTTTAACGAATGTAATTGTCAAGTTTTAAACTTAAATATTGATTATTAACAAAATTATTGTGTAAAATGTAACTGGGGTGCCATAATACCACCTTCTCCTCTAGTAATTTATACTAATTACGACAGTTAAAAAAAAACGAACTAATAATAACATCTTATAATGATAGTTTTTTTTTAATTCAAATTAATATATGAAATATATTTTTTTTAAACAAAGTTAGAGATAATATAAATATTATTGAATTTTATTCGTTTTTAGTTTTATAAGAAAAATATAATAATAACAGAATTAAAAATTTTTATCAATATAGATCTGGTTCGCGTTTATTAGTAAAGGCAATATTGTGCTTACATTCAATATCTTGTGACAAAAACGAATTTGTTATATCGATTCCTATTCTATTACTATTTTATTTTGGATGAAGCTTAAATGAAAAAACACACTCTCTCACACACAATTGACGCTAAACTAGAATACAGTGATACTAGAATACTGAATTAGGATATCGATAAAAAAAATTCTGTTTATTTTATTGCTTTTAATTGAAAAAGATCAATTTTTGTCGATTTTTTTCGGAAAATATCGTTTTTTATCACTGGCACAGACGTTATCCAAAAAGTATAGAATTTTGCCAATCTTGTTTCGATGTAAATCAGAATGCAAAAGAAATGACTTGGCAAATTTTTAATGAACAAAATAAAATTTTTTGTTAACTGTAATATCAATATTACTAAAATTGTAGAAATTCAATAAGGATCTGGTTGAGAAAAAAAATTCAATCTAATCAATTTTTAATATAAAAAAATTATTTATCTTTAGCTTTAGAAAACGTTGTTAAAATCTAAAATATTTTTTAGCTTTTATATGTTTTTGTATATGTTATATCTTTTTCGCTTAGTATTTATATTGTAAAATTATCTAATGAAAGTATACGACAGAGATCTATCTTTAATTTAGTTGGCATAGTATAATCGTGGGTATCGCAAGGCAACAACGAGAATTTAAATTAATCAAGAATGAAAGGAAAGGCGATAGTATTAAAATTTAACGAATAATGTCGACCGATCTTAATGTGCGCTCTATAAATAAAGAGCCAAGAAAAATGTGCAGGTCGTTGTCGTACCATTAAACGTAACTTTCCACCGGTCGAAGATAAATTCGCAATTAATAATTTAAATCAATATGGTGGAACGAGAACGGAACATTGGGGCGGATATATCTCCCGTGGGTACAGTATAACGTAGCTCGTGTCCAGAGTTCTGTACGAGGGCGGAAAAGAGCGCAGGAACCCCTCCGGACACAAGATCGAACACGCGAGACGATCCCCTGGGTTCTCCATCGACATAAAAAGAATCACGGGATCGCGGCCGAAGATCAATTTAAAAGCGCGTGTGTAATCGGCACTGACAGATACTTTTTTTTCTGTATCAACGATACGGCGATACTGATCAACTGGAGACCGACAACGTTATACGGTGGAAGCTCTCTTTGAAATATTCGTTGGATTTTATGCACTTCGAACATACAGAAATATTAGATCGTAAATAAATCGCAATAAAATCGATATTCTTACTATCGCATAATGGCATACATGTCTATGATTTGAATAAAAACTACCCGACGATTGAAACTGTACAATTTTATACCCAGGTTATAAATATTTTTATAGAAACATTTTATACTTGTGTTAGAAACAGAAATTCACCCAAATCCTTGTTAAAATTTCGTGTTAAGTTTTTAACACGTTCAAGTATTAATTTAACATAATGTGATTGTTTAAAATATCTGAACTTATAGTATTCAATTTCTAGAATAAAAAGTAACTTATAAGTAATTTGTAAAGTAACTTTCCTAACCCTGGCTACATGAATGTATGTTCTACATGTAGTAAATACAACGAAAATAATTAACGCGGAAATAATCTCCGCGATTGGAGCTGCGCGAAATATCATCCCTGCGAGTGACATAACTTCGGAAAAGGATAATTAGAACGAATCGTCGAGCAAGTTGCGAATGCAAAATAGCCATCATGTGACGCCACTCTGCTTAGACAATAAATCGCTATCACTACTCGTCCCACACGCGCCGGAAACAGAACCGGAGACTGGCGGCATAGTCAACGTTGTCCACGAAATCGATCGATTGATCGCCGTCGTCGTTCGGCCTGTAAACGAACTCCCGTCGACAGGACACGTCGACTGGATCCTCTCGCGAATACGCCCGCTGCTGCAACCCTCATGGAATGTATCATCATTACGCGGTCCAGCGGCTTTCCGTTCAGTCCGCTCCGTTAATTGCGGAGAGAAAGCGCGTCGTGTCATCAAGTTTCCAACCACCCCACCTCCAGTAACAGGACTCATTCAGTCGACATCGCAAAAATATCGTGCGATAGGGGTTGATTTCACCGCCAACTATCCCGTATCGAGTGCCGGCAAAGAGTATACGGCTCATACGTACAACATTTTATGTCACGGGTAATCTCTTGCTTTAGAGCCACGTGAGCTTGGCACGTCTTATAATGGTAAAAAAATAATTCAGAGAAGACACATGTTACAGATAAATAATTTTTGTATTGGAACAAAAAGATTTATTTTTATATTATACATTTATATATTTTATTAATATATATTTATATATTTTATATATTATATAATTATATATTTTAGAAATATCGCACAGAACTATCTCTCTATTAACATATATATTTTCATAAAAAATTGTAAAGTTAAGCAAAATATATCTCGCGCATATTTCTCGATAAAAACAACGAACTCTAAAAAATTGTAACAATCTTTATTACAAATGTTACGAAAGCAAGAGATCGCTCGTTAATCATTCAACGGACGAAGGTGTCTGTATCTTTTTTACTGTATAATATTCTGCTTTGAATAGGTATTCTATACGTCCATATCGGGAAGTATAAGGGAGAATACTTGATAAGCATTTGCCGCCCTGTTCCCCGATCGATTCCCTCGAAGCCATGAATGCGAACAGCTTCTTCACTGTCGAGTGAGTCCTTTCTCTACGTCGGGATACGCGTGTGTCCTGTGGATAGACACATCTGGTATCGCGCTTTGCGTACGGTTTCCGCGGCGTGAATCGAGATTGATCCGGGCACAATGCTCGGGACGGGACGCTCCAGATCCGAAAGTGCCCGTGTCTACGTCGAGACGTCTGCTCGTGATTGACACCCGACAGCGCCACTCGAAACAGTCAAAACATTTCACCCCGTGTCGCGTCGAGTCTGGCCTTGACGCTTCGTAGCAACGCCAATCATCCTTCTCGGCAGATTCACTGTTATCCGTAAAACGGGGATTACTCGGCGAGTACCCAACGTATTCGACAATATTTCTTTTCATGTCACTCTCACTTATGAGAACATCAAGTTTCAAACGACTTCCGCGATCACTTACGTATCTCTGAATAAATATAGACGACGATTGCACAGCATATTATTAGCCACTATATGAATGTATCAATTTTCGTGCAACAATTTGAAATTGATGGAACATTTATCAATCTCGTCGTATACTTCGATCCTTCAATCCAGGAAATAATTCGATAAGATTTCTATACCATTCTCCTTTACAAAAACAATATTGCAATGTTTTATAAATCTTCATATATCTCATTAATAAAATATCTCATGATTCAACAGTGGAAAATATTATATTTCGATGAAAGTAGCGCAAGATACACCTATATCACGTATCTAACATTCTACAAGTCGGCTTTTACCAATCAACAATGGGGATACCTACTTCGCGACCAATAAAATACTTGTAAGTTGTGTTACAGTTCCGCGTGCTCTTTCGTGCACTCGATAATCCACGTGAACGCGAAGATCGAAGGGGGTAAGCCGTTTGTCGAATGACGGTCGTAGATCCTGCGATACCTACGATGCGCCCCGGCGCGACTAGCGTGATCATAGATCGTTGATTATCATCGGATAATCCGCACAATGCATTTGCACTTTCGTGTTACAGTCGCCGACTCAACAGGAGGTACTCTCGGCCCTGAAGAGACGTCTGGAGCAGACCAGCGTACCGCTACGCCTTCGCATGCTCTCCAAACTTGCCGAAGGCGCCTTCGGAACGGTAATGACGTTGTTATTACACCCGTGAATATTAAGTATCTACAGTGAGAGCGCAAAAAGTATTCGTACAAGAGAGATGTCTTTTTAAAAGACCTTATTTTTAAAAAATAAACATTAATTAGCAATTTATTAATAAAGAGTACAATAGACTGTATGGTTTTCAAAATTATTTTACTTAAAAAGTGTAATAATTAAAATATATGTATATGCTATTATCTTGAAAATAAACAAAAATGAAAAATTGTATTATTTGAAGACGCACAAAAAGTATTCTTACGGTCGAGAAATTTAGTTTCTAGATCGGAAACACGCGAAGCTCTTTTGTTTATATATAAGGACAACACGTACTCAATAAGTGTGTTCTTTATCGTGAAAACAAACGTGAACTATATTTGTTTCACTTCAACTTACTGCTCCAGTGTGCAATTGTTTAGAGTTTATCGATAAAGAACAAACTTATTTTACAAAATTGCTAATTAATGTTTATTTTCTAAAAATAATCTAATAATCTTTTTTAAATGAAAATTTCTCCTGTACAAATATTTTTACACTCGCTGTAATTCCAATTAGACACGAGCACTCGATGAACCGACGAATCGAACGATAATAGCATTGCAATTATTTTTGTGTTTAGTGTATTATTTGTATATTCTCTAATTCGAGATTTAAAAATTATCTAGGGTACATAGTCTATATCATTCTCATTTTTAGGGACATTCAATGTAACAAAGAAAATTTATTACGCCGTTATAACAATTAATTTATCAGCATTACCGCTACGATTGTACGCGAATAAAAAGCAAGTTCGCACTATCTCACGTAAATTTACGTAATGTGTCGCAACTTCTCCGGCACGGTGACGATCGCGAAATCAATCCGTTTGTTGGTCGCGCAGCGTGCACGGGTAATTCAACATGCGCAGGATGCGCAACAATACGTCGATTAATGAAGTACCCGGGACGTGTTATTCTTCGCCAGCACAATGGCACCTCGTCGGGTCGTCGAGGATAATCAGTTTAGGATGCGTTAGAGCGGCTAATAATTCCCTTTTGTTTCCCGCTCCGGGTACCGACAACGTGTCGTTAATGACAACGGGCGAGGAGGAGGATCGTCGAAACGCTCGTTCGTTTCGCACCGTTTGCCAGTTGCCGCGTCAGGCTTCCGTGGATGCGGATGCATGCAGACGCGATCGTGCGGGTCTTCCTATGGGTATACGCGAGATCGGACACGTCGATCTCGAGTCCCGGTCGACTTACGAGATCAATCGTCTTCGTGCGAGATTGCCGGAAGAATCTCTTACGGAAGTCACAGAAAAGTACAGTCGTGTTACGCGATGCATACAATGATTGATTATCCTTTACTTCCGTCCTAGACTTTCAGACACTACAGTTATTAAGACTTAAAGAGTTCTCTAAATGTATTTTCGTATATTATACGGAGAAAAGTATTTGATTGAATTAATTGGAATTCTGATGGAAAACGAACAATCCAGAATTCTGAGATTAGTCTACTAGATTTCCGGTTAAATCTAGAATTCTAGTAGATTTAACCAGAATTCTAAGTCATTCATTTTCCACCAAAATTCCAGTTAATACAATTAATGAAAAGAATATATTCTTTTAATTCGTATCATTGTAAAGGGAAGGATCAAATTTTGTTTTTCAGAGAAGACCGTTTTTAGAGCTATATCGGAGTAAATCGTGACTTTTTTTTATTGTACTTATTTAAATTTTATTGTGTCGCAAAAGAATTGGTATTTTCTTCAGAAATTATATGCTAAGATTAAAAACAGAGAGAAGTACATTTAAAAAAATAATTTTTCTTAATAGTATATGCATTAAATTTATATGTATATAAACTTATAAATTTTTTCTTGGTATACATTATTATTTTTGACTGAACAAAAAATTTTTGTAGTGCAATTTATTTCGCTGCATAATTGAAAAACCAAGTAAAAATTAATGATCTTGCAAAATTATTATTATTTACATGTGTGTGTGTGTGTGTGTGTGAAAAAAATTTTAACAATATAAACGATAAACAAAGTTAGCAAAAAGTCGGCTTGTGTAAAATCACGAACAACCGAGATTCGTCAACGTTACAACAGATTACAAAATTTTCTTGTTTTCTTGTCAAATTTACCCTGGTCATGAGTAGCTTCTATGCATATACATAACGCAATTCAAACAAATTATGTATATAAAGGTATACGTGGCGGAAGCTGAAGGGATTCCGGAATACGGGACAACGACTACCCTTGGCAAGCGACTCGTGGCCGTCAAGTTTTTACTACCGGAAGCCAGTGAGAAGGAAAAGTGAGTATACACGTCCATATGGAAGTCGCAATTTGCATTCTGTTTCATTATAGTGACGCTCGATTGAACAAGCATGACTCTCTGCCTTCCTCTAGTCCGTTTCCTCCGCGTGTGCGACGATAAACCTTTTACATTCACATAAAGACGCATTTCTACAACACCTGCTATCCATACAGTCGTATTCGCGATTTTTATGCATTCATTTATTAATATCAACCGATATATCATAAGCTATGAAAAAATAAAATCGATAGCCTGCGTCAAGAAGATTCGATTCCTATTATCAGACAAATTGATCACAAAATGCCAGATGAAGTACACTCAGATCTAATAAACTTTTTGTACGTTAAATATACGGAGAGAACGATTTTGCTAAAATATGTAAAAGTTTAGTCAGATACAGATTTGAAAATAATTTTGTTTGGACCATTCAAATAATTAAAGATAAATAATTCAAATAATTAAAGATCCAAATAATTATATGAGGCTCAAGCTGGTTTCTAGAATATTAAAATTTTTCGCAGAGCAATGTCATCAGTGCTTAAGCGTTCTACATATACTGTCAGAAATTTCATAATGAATTTAAGTAACATGTATAACAAAAGCTTGTGGTCAAGCAGGACTGAAAAGTAATGAATGATTGTCTTAAATGTAATGAACGTGAGCATTAAATTTCATACAAATCCACATAAAATATGGAAAATATTATACATTAAATTTCATAAAATTTTATGAAAAATACTAAATTTTATATACATGTACATAAATATACTTTTCAGTTACAAACATATTAATGTAATGTCATGAAATTAAATTTAACTCATATAATTTAAAAGTATATTAAATTTCATGATATTTTTAATTGTGTAATTATTCTGATGGTATAAAATTATTTTCAGATCTGTATCTAGTTAAATTTTCAAATACTTCAGTAAAATCATTTTTTCTGCGTAATATCTAACACATTCGAAATATTCCTAGAGAATTATTTCGGTCGTTACGTGCACGGAAAGAACGGTTTTACTGAAAAATCTAAAATTTTGCTGCATACAGATCTGAAAAATAATTCTGTCAGATTATAAAAATAATTTTGTTGGAAATTCAAACTGGTTGTTAGAATATCAAAATTTTTTTGCAACATTTCTCAACATTTTTTAATTTTTAGCATAATTATTTTGATGATTTAACAAAATTATTTTCAAATCTGCTTCCAGCAAAATCGTTTTTTTTTTTGCTTTCCATGTGCGCGTTAGTTGAAAACAAGGGCTTGTTTTCAGCTCGATTATCCCGCATTATCGAAATTCACGTAAGAGGAAATATTTTCGCGAAATGAAAATGGGAGTCTGCATAATAAGCGTAACGTGCACGTCCAAAAATGCGATGACGAAAGAAGAGAGCAGTAAGCTAAATTATGCGAGAGAATCGTTCTCGGCAACAGCATATGATACATCGAATTTGGAGATAGAGAACGAGCAATCCCCGTTCGTGTTCTCTGGTCGAATGCATGCGACGACCCGCGTCGCGCCGCGACGTCCACCGAGGAAGCCCCGCGGCGGCAAAACGTCCGGATATACCGTTCCCGGACGATCGTTCTCGTGGCTATCGCGTCAGACATCAGAAAAAGGCCAGTTCGATTCCACGAATGGAACGGATTTGCATACAATGACCGGGAGATAGGGTATCGGGCTGACTTTGGCGCGCACTATGGGCCGATGTGTGCAGCGGAACGAAGGGCGGGAGATCTCGTAGTGGAGATGACAAAGCTTCCCACCAATGAACATCGACGAAAATCGACGGCCCTTCCCATTGGATACCGCAACGCCCGGGACCTATTGCCGCTCGGCAGACTGGCTCTGACCTGAAGAGAAATTTCGTCGACTCCGTTCGCGGAGCAATCTGTCGGACGTCTCAGACGATGCGAGCGAGAATAGCGAGCAATTTGGCTGATTTAGCGTGCATGAGTGTATCTACTTGCGCGAGGAGTTTCGCTGCATTGCAATTCCGTAACAGTGCCCGGTGCATGGTGCATCGCGTTGTGTGCGAAGTGATTGCACAAGCATCTTACGAAAGTGATTAATTTATTGTTAACCATTACATCAATCACTTTAAACCTCTCTCATCGATTCCGCTATCTCTGGGAGGATCAATTTTCACATAATCGATCCATTTCTTAAATCTTTATAAAAATATCATTGATATTTAAATATTTGAGTTAATAAGTAGATCGACTTTCAAGTGCCAGAACAATTCGCAAAAATCACGACAGTTCTGTCGATTCTATATAAAATGACTAGATATACGCATAGTCTCCGAGACTCATCGTATTTTATCTTGTACGAGAAAGATCTTCGAAAGATTCTAGGCGGATCCTCAGCATCCACTCACGCAACAAGCTTCTGTCGCGTGGATGACTTATAGCTTGTCGTGACTACATCGACGAGTTTGCCCTCCGTGTTGAAACGCGAGCAACTGCGACGTATGGAGAACCGCAAATCCCCCCTCTTACATACGTATCACATCGTGAGAGATAAAGAGAATTTCTCATAACAAAAAATTCGTCGCTCATTATCCTAATATTAATTACATTTTTACTACGTATAACTCTGTATCCTAACTCCTCCGAATATATTTGAGTTGATTTTTGTTCAAGCTAAAATATTTAGTTATTTTTTACAAAATAATTTCTCTTTGTAAACAACAAAAATATTTGTTTATATCAACTAAACAATTTAGTTCCATAAGATTACGGTTTTGTTTAATATATTTTAACCAAAAATTTTTATTCGATATATCTCAACGAAATTTTTGTTGTTACCACAAAATTTTCATTCATAGAACGAAACTTTTTTTTTAGTGATATCATATTCTATCCTTTTATATCAATACGGCAGAAAAAGTGGTTTGCTATAACTAAAAATTTAGCTAGATTCGAAAATAATTTTGTTGAATTGTCAAAATAATTATATACAACGCTCAAGCTGGTTGCTAAAACGTCAAAACTTTTTGTAACTGTTACTCATCATGCTTGAGTTTCTGTATAATTATTTTGATGGTTCAACAAAATTAATTTCAAATCTGTATCTAGCTAAATTTTTAGATATTTTAACAAAGTCGTTCTTTTCATGAAAATTCGCATTGTCTGTGCATACGTCGCGCGTAGAACGGGATCGCAAAAATCTTCCATGCGATGGTAAATAAGGAAAGTACAACGGAGGATGCTCGCATGTGCAGCCGCCCATTCGGAAGAGGCTATGCTGACGGTAGATAAGGAATGTTTTATACACCATGCTTGCATATTACAGTATATGACTCGCGCTGATACTTTATTAAAAATAACGCGTGGGCTCGACTGCTCCGATTTGCATCCATTCGAGATAAACGACGGATATATCATTTCTTCGAATTATCGAAATCATGATAAAGTTTCATCATTGTAAAAAAAACTGCTAAGGTCTGTTCGCTACGCGTATAAGTTCCAATTTTATCTACTTCAAGAATTATGATCAAAAAGTTATAGTTAAATCTTGAGATAATTTTTTATTTTAAACATTTTTTTTTAAACTTTTATACATTTTTTGAAATTTATTCATTAATACAGTACTCTGTATAGTTTTTTTTTTTTTTTGCAAATTTATATTTATTATGGTACCATTGTGCTAAAAATTGTTATCGGAAAAATCAAAGGATGCTTTCAAAGTCGTAGATCGAAATCGAAATTAAATTGTGAATTCGGCATCACGTTCGTGATACTGTGAACACCGCCAATACAGAATGGGGAACGTTCCAGCGTAACCGCCGATACCAACGGCACAAGAGAGGAGAAATTGAACCGCGAATACGAAGTTTCGGCTAATGCGAAAGTCATTAACCTGCCTTAAGAGTGGCGGTAACGCTAAACGAGCTATTTTGCATATAGTGGTCAAGAACAGGACCGTATGTTTCGCCCACGTCGGACTTGAAGGTGCCGCGACAATCGCGTGCACCAACGAATTCTTAGTTTACAGCGAATCGATATACGCAGGGCACCGTCATTTCGTTAACGGTCGCATTAAGCTATCACGCAAAAGTGCCATTACCAAGCCGATCGTAAGTAAGGCTGGAATAACGATGCTGCGTGGAAAGGCGCGTCGCACATATGTACTCATATGCTGGAAAGCGCTTCTCTTATCCGGAAGTACACGACCCAACGAACTGGATAGCGACCGCAACCGTTAACGTCGTACGAACGTTGCGACCACAATGCAGAAAGCGCGCAACGCGATACGAGAGTCATTATCTAGGATGGACATCAGTAACTCTTGTTACTTTAAAATTTAGAGCGACATAAAATTTACTTTACTTATTATTCTGTACATATATATATACATATATCTGTCTTGTTATTATTTTTATTATAGTTATTTATACTTATACATTTCGTATTTTTCATATTTCTAAAAATACGAATATATATTTTGTATTCTACATTTTGAGATTATCTTTAAAATTGGATCCGGTTAGAACTACGTAAGAGTAAGATAATCATGATGGTAATTATAATCGTCACAATAATTGACGTAAAATCAAACATGAAATTAGACTTCTTTCATTTTGAGCAGTTCTCGTAGACTTAATTAGTTACGATAATTCACCGAAGAATTGAATTGATCCTGCACAGGTTGGACTTCCAAAGAGACGTGAGGATTCTGGCTGCTCTAGAAGATCGCAATATCGCACGAGTTCTGGGCGCTTGTTACCGCGAGGAACCGTATTGCGTGGTGATGGAATATCTAGAGCATGGGGATCTTTGTCAGTTCCTCAAGACGCATATCACTGCCGAGGACGCGCATTCCATGCCAATTGGCGTCAAGACACTCAGGTAACTTTCCAGTGACGCATTCTGACATTAATCAAAAGCTAGCACACATATATAATTCTCTTCGTATATAATTAATTTCTCTTAAAATTATGAATTAGCATTAATACTTATTACGTTAATTTCTAAATTACTATCGAATTTGCGTAATGATTTTTTATTTCACTATAATATAATACTAGAATGAATTTAATATGTATCGCCTAAAATATTTTTCTGCTGACTTGTTATTTTATTGATATAGTGAAAGAGCAGTGTTTATTAAAACATTCGCTGTCGTTTTTCCAAAAAATGGCACGCGTGCAGGATGTTTCATTGCATGTAACGGTCGTCGCGGAAATTGAATGTTTCCAAATAAAAGCAATGCAGTATCTTCAAAAATATCAAATTCGAGTACCTTTCGTGAATAAAATCGCCAAAAAGTCATGGAACACATACATCTGCATGAAAGCAATATCCCGTTTTGTAAAAAAGTATATGTACGCATATATATATATATATATATATTATATATGGAACGTCATTAGAGGTCCTATGCTCCGCGCAGGAGTTAAAGGAATATATATATATATACGTACATATACTTGACTAATATACCTCGCAACATGGAAATTTTCGGTTATATGAGACGTTCCATGAAAACGCAACTAAATATTAATCCGCTCGTTACCTCGCATCAAAGCGCTCGAATCCGCGATCACATCTTTAACGATGATAGGTATTATAAATTCCCCAATTCAGATTTTTTTGTAGCACCAATAAAAAGTCCGTGAAATGTGTGCTCGCTGATAAATGCCGCACATTATAGATAAGTATATGCTTCTTTAACACGTTAAGTCGCGGTATCGACTTTTAAATTTTTACGTGATAAAATTCTGCTAACATTCTGCTGAAGTGGCAGAGTAAGAAGGAATATTAAAATCGTTTCGTGTAAAATGCTTTCAATAATTTTGAGAACTCGACGAAAAATATCATAATACAATAGATCTTAACTGTTCGTTGTACATGCAAGCATGGAAAAAATAACGATTTTGCTAAAGTAGCTAAAGATTTAGCTAGATACAGATCTGAAAATAATTTTATTGGACTCAAGCTAATTGCTAGAATATTACAACTTTTTGTAGCATTGCTCATCAGTTTGAATTTTCTACATGAATATTTTGATGATGAAATAAAATTATTTTCAGATCTGTATCTATAGCTAAATTTTTATTTTAGTAAAATTATTCTTTCTATGTATTCTACTTAAAAATGTAGCATCAGAGAAATTTATATTTTCCAATACCAAGCTATACTATTAAAGTTGAAGGACATCATATTGTGGAAATTGCAATTTTTTTAAGAGAAAATATATATATATTAATTATATTATCTGGCTATATAGTCCAAAAAAAATTCTGATTCTTCATTAATCTAGCATTGTTCGATCATTCATCTGCTATAATGTTAGTGCTAAAATATACGAATATATTATATAATGTATATAAGTATGACTACACCGACGTATAAGCATCGTGCTGTTGTTATCGAGCTTAAAGTATTCAAGATTACGGCTCTCGAAGTGCTGCAATCGTCTCTAACGAACCGGAGCTCGGTTTCATTTCCAGCGAACTGCCGTCGCTGAAGTTAACACGCAATAAGTTTCTCCCGCGCGAGAGTTTGACGCGTTTATTAATCGTGAGCGACGCACAGCCCTGACGCAGCCCCAATTCCCGACGACCTACACCTCGGAGGAATCCCTCCGAGGCGACGGCGGTCGGGTGTATTCGAGTGCGAATACCTTAACTTTGTCGCAGCAAACTCACGCCACTTCGTCGTCGTTTCAGTTTCAACTGTCTCATCTACATGGCGGCACAGATCGCGTCGGGCATGCGGTATCTGGAGAACCTGAACTTCGTTCATCGAGATTTGGCTACTAGGTGAGTACAATAGGACTTTGCTGAAACGAATCTCTCGCGGATTCGCTTTCATCTCTCGAGAATAAACTTACGAGCGAGGCTTTATCGTCCTCAACCGGTATTCACTCTGTATCTAAACACTCCATGGTTCTCGTCCTCTGCAGTTAGCATAATACGTGATTTATACATTAAGCGGCGTCTACAATGGGATTTTAAAGCGTAAAACTTGAGTTTTTAAGCCCTAAGCCGTAAAAAATTGACGCAATCATAATCAATTATTCTCCTCACGTTTTCCTCCAATTATGTGATTGATCAATTTCTTACGACTTAGGATTTAAAACTTAAGATTTACGCCTTAAAATCTCATTATAGACGCCGCTTTAAGTAATACAAGTTTACAAACGATTGCACGTTATTAATTCTCTATAATGCTATTTTAACAATCAAGATGACTATATCGTGTACATCTTTTTATCACATATATGACAGACAGTAGTATATTTCAGATTCCGTTATACTCCGTCTGCGAGTCTTAGATTAAACGAAATTGGAGATGAGAATGAATCAGAGATTTGAATACAGACGTGAATATGAAGCTCTTTCTCGGGCGAGTGCACCGATGCGCGTCGAGAAGATGTAAGATTACAAGGGAATCTTCTCGGTCGACGTGACGCGAGGAAAATTACAACGTTTCCGTGGCGGCAACAATATGCAGAGGGTTTTATAATTCCTAACGCAGCCAGGGATGATCCCTGTCGCGGGGGAACCGGTTGAAAAACGCAATATATATCTCGCCGCGCGATTTTTATTGAAAAGTAATTTCAAAAGTCGGTCGCGACCAAACGCATGGAAGAGGTATGGCGCGGCGTGAATGTCGCGGCATGGTTTTTTACGTTATTGCGGAAGAGATAAATGGATCCGTTGCACTCTTGATTTATCTCCCGACGTAAATTTACTCATCCTCCCCGTATTTTTCCCCGTCTCGCTTTCCGCTTCATCGGCTAACAAGACTTCATCCGTGCTATCGACTTTAAATAGTAGCGAATCGAGATTATCTTTCGACGGATGTAGCCTTCACGATCTTGTTTGAGATTGTGCCGTCCGCTTTAATTGGCACAGTCTCTAATAACTAACAGAGATGTTCTCGTGGTGTGTGCTTGTATTCGGGAACGTGTACGTACGTAGAGAGAGGATTTTACCACGTCGAGAGCCCGTTAAAACGGGATGGGGCACCGATATCGATTCCCCCCCTGTTACACTCTCAGGATGAAATTGAATTATACCAACCCCCGCAGTGCATTTCCATAAGCCCCAAAACAAACGGAGCCGAGAACCGCATGGGAAATCAACGATTTGTTAGTGAATCGTCGCGAGGTATGCGGCGAGAAGAGCAAGCAGCTAGTTTGTGAATGGTAGCGTAGAAAATTTTGACGTTTTATTTATTTTTACTTTTTATCCAATTGCATTCAATTGTCGTAACCATCTGGATTAGTTTATGATATTGTGTCCTTCATAGACCGCTCGCCAAGTGATTCCTCCGGGTTTTTCGCAGGAGCAACCAACCCCAAAGTGCCGCGACTTCGAGCACACAATAGCCACCTTCCTCAATCCAACATAATGGCCTAATATTTGTCACGTTTGTGGTCGATTTTCCTTTCAAGCACTATCGAAGGATCTCCGCCTCGCATCAAATATAAATCGAGATTAAGTATAAATCGGGAAAGGGCCGACTATTATCTAAAAAAAGAATTTATACATTTTTTATATGTTTCGATCCAAACGCGTCTTTAACTGAAAGAGCAGAACTGAAAATTTAAGTAAGCCTGTGCTGGTAATGAAATTTTAATGCCGGAACATGCGATTATTCTCCTTGAATTTTCCATCGATCACAGATAACGCGCAGGCGCCCGTAAATTTAATGAAAATATTGCATTAGTATAAAATGTATATTGCACCGATTTCTTTCATTACAATTAAAATCGATATTACAAATTGCGTGATTTACTATACTTATTCTATCGTGATATTTTGCATAGACTTGTGTATCTTTTTCATATGAATTTCATATGTTATTCAAATGATCTCCATTTAATTTCCATGCTTCTAATATTACGTAGATAAATCTTCATGATGATCTTCATGCCACATAACGTATACAGTGACCAGTATCGGTAATCATCGATCTATGAATACAAAGTACACATCTCATATATGGAACAAAGTCCATCTACGTGGCTGTTATTGAAATGCAATGGCCATCTCGCCGAATCGATAGGACGTTTAGATGCACATATGTGCATATATGTATATCTTCCGCACACACGCGGGTGCATATTCGCGCAAACCACCGAGCTCTCATAGCACGTGGGACCTAGTTTCCGGCTGGACAGTGTCTCTCAAATCCTTGCTCGTAAATCTTAATGTATAGCGAGAGACACTTCCTGCGAAGCTTTCATGATGATATCAGCCCTGTCAGCGTTCCTAAGAGCTTTTGACACGATTCGGTCCATCGATTACAGAAATATCGCTCAGAAGTATCGTCAGAACTACCGCCAGAACTACTTCTGTGTCATCCCAATTTCATGTACTCCATCATACACAAAGTCATATATGATAAAATGTTTATTTAGATTAACAGAAATATATATATATATGCGTGTGTGTGTGTGTATAAGTAATCCGAAATACGCAATAAGATAATTTGAATTATATTAATTATACTAAGATAATAATTTTAAACTTATATGATTGCGAGAAGTACTCACTATGTTCGATGTTTGCTGGTATTCGAAACGAGATATCTTTTCGCAGCTCACATTTTCATTAGCATTTTTCATGACGAAATGCTAATGGTGTTGCAAATTTCAAAATATTTTTGAGAGCATTCGAGGGAGTGGAATGTCCGCGTCTGTGATTGCAACAGCCATAATCCTTTGGTTAAATTTTTAACATGCCACACACGAAGCTTTATAAAAATTTACGCGATACGTTATCCTTCTCTGTGCTTTTGTGAGAAAAAAAGCGGGATATGATCCGATCGCGTTGCAAATAGATCGATGCCTTTTGTATAGGTACCGGGATTTAATCAAAATTTAATCAGAATTTAATGACACCACCGCTGAACTTCCACTTTGATGGCATACGTCAGCGTGACGAACCGACGATATTCAGTGAAATACGCGACCGTATGGGAATTCCACCGTGGGGCATAAATTCTTCGTGACTGGCGGCGTCAAAAGAGAAATGGACATTGCGGGTATCAATGGCGCGCACGCGATACTTTGGAAATGCATTTTTGCCCTTCCTATCGAACGACCTTTGCGCGCGATTTATCTATCGCGATAAACGAGAAAGAGCGAAGCGAAACATTTTTATCCATTTAAATCGAACCGGGCGAAGGATTCCGAGCTATAGAGTTTAAACGTTATCGAAACCGGTTGGTCGAGTACCGAGGATGTTCTACCGATTCCTCCGCCCGAGACAAACTGCCAATCCATCGCAGGCTCTTATTTCATTCGCGAGTGCGCGGTATAGCTATAGAGTCATTGTCGGAGTCAAGCCAAGTGAAAAAGAAGGAAGGGATCGATTGCTGATCAAACGGTAATGCAATTCAATTGGCTCGAATGGAAAAAGAATACCAACGAATGAGAAGATCGATAGCTCTATGTAATGCTTTAAAGATGGAAAGGATAGTGGATTCGCGCAGTACGATTGTTTGACCAATCGGAAAAAATATAAAAAGGCCGATATTGTATACGAACGAAGGTAAAATCTCGCGTTACAGTACAACTCGCCAATAACGCTGATAATGTTATTCTGTTAATGTGCGACATCGGAGATTGGTGATAGTGTGGGTACACTACGAATAAATGTACGTCTAAAGGAGCAGAAATAGCAAAAGCCTGTATTCTGTATTCCCGCATGTGGGTATTTCGCATTCCGGTAAAAGAGATTTCCTTCATCCTATTTTGAATCACAAATGTACCGGACGAGTTTTCTTTCGTTCTTCTTCTGGCAACAAGTGTAGGTAGTACTCGATATTATGTCTAATATTTTTTTTCTACTGTTCATTCTCACATTCAAAATATTGTGTATAGTTATGCAATTTCTAACTTCAATTTAGCCAAAAAGAAAATGCAATATAAATATTATTACGTTTCTCTGTAAAAGGAAAATTTGTTTCTCAGGTAGAAATAGTTTTTGCTAAAAGATCTGGAAATACTTTCGTTCATATCTTCTCTCTTGCGGTAAAATTCTATGCTTTTCTTTGCGGCAAGTATAGGTAAACTTTAATACTAAAGTATTGCGCGTTTAACTCGTAATACAGTCATTCGGCCTCGCAGATCCCAACATTGAATTTAGAATGTAACTTCGAGCGATAGAGGAGGCCACGATTCTCCTTATCCACCCTCGAGAATACTGAAGACTATAGGTATGCAAGAATTTTATTCTCCGCTGACGAGAGCTTACGTGTTCGAACAACCGGTTAAAAATTCAAAGAAGTCGGCTTTTCTTCTACGCTTACTTCCTCGCCGTACTCCTACCTGATAAACCTTTCGATGGTTCATTTGTTTCTTTTCCAATGCATATCCAATATTCAACTTTCAATCTAACTTGAGACCGAACGTCCGACTTCGATGTTGATATATACGCGGGAATCAACTTCAATTATACAACCGCGTCAATCAGCCAAGTACACTTAACGTTTCTGTTCCTATTGACAATAGCACCGTGCTTGCGTCAAATGGCCAAGTGATTCCGAGTTTAACTTCGACTTGCAACTTGCACAATGACAGGGGTGATTCTCTTTATCCACCGAAGAAGTCGTCGCGAGCTGAATGTAGATATTCTGCTTTCTGCCAAGAAAGCCTGTCTTTGTTCCGATTTCGATTACAGATGCGAAGGAGGCCTTTCGTCATGCTCGATATATAATCTGATTTTTTCTTTTCGTAATCCTTCTCTTCCTCACATTTTTAAGCGTAAAGTTACTATAATATCATCAGTATACTTGTTCCTCTACAATAATTTTAGATTAAAATTCTCTTGTATAAACGTGAAATAGGAGATGAATAACGAATAAGTTAAGAAACTAATGATTTTAATGATATTTTATTATTAACTGAATATGATTTTAATTGTATTTTATTATTATTTTAATTGACAAAGATAAGTTCTGAATAATTACTCTCATAATCTCTTGGAATTATTAAAATTTAGGTAATAGAAATTAATGACTTTGATTTGCATAGAGAGCATAGCATTTTCTAATGTATTAATAGTATATACATTTAAGTAATATATCTGTGTAAAATTTCTATATGCATTAACGAATTACCTACTAATATTTTTAAATCCTTAAATATTTGAAATAATCACACAAAATCATTTTAAATTTATATTACAATATCATGAATATGTACGATGCACATAATATTACATTATTGGAATTAACTATTACAAATAATATATTAGTAAGCATTAGTCTATCTTATATTCGGATATTAGGCAATTAAAATTTTATGAAACATAAATTTTACACAGATTTTGGATCTCCGTCATCAGGATTTATTATTTTTGGTATTAACGCGAGCGATCAAAGTTCTAACCATCATATTGTGGAGCGGAGATCATCACACCTGATTTATACTGCAACAGCTTCAACGCGAGGCGTGAACGCGGCTTATTGCATTACTGTCGTACTCCACAATATAGGGAGAACCGGGGTCAGCCCCATCGACGCAGTAGCCCGATGGCGAAGTAGCCAATAGCAATGATCGATAAAGCGCCCCTAATTAACCAGGTTCTGCTGCCAAATTGGAGCTTTGTTCCGGCGGCGAAATTAATTGATTCTATCTATTCCATACCCATACTATTCGGATAACGTTTGGTTGGTCGCCTCTCAGATAGCGAAGATTAGTTCGTCTTTAAAGCGAACTGGTCAATGCCTGAAGCTTTGAGCGGAAGTTGCATGAATGCTTATCCATCTCTAATTGTAAGTTCTCCTCAGGGAAGTACTTGAATCTCTAGTAGATACCGCTCAAAAGACAAACGAGATGAAATATCAGATGCATCTTTCATTCGTGATAAGAGATATTAAGTAATTACGTCTATTACATATTAAGATTATTATATATAATACAATTTCTACTATCTCCGCAGATACTGTCAAACGAATAAATTTTTGATATCAAAAGCTTTTCTCTTAAAAGAAACGATTTACGATTACTGCTGCGATAATTCAATGTGGAGAAAGTTTATTCACGCATCGAGTATAATTGCACATCCGTGTGTGTTTGGGCAGGAAATGCAGCTCGACCACATACGCGAGTAAATGTTACATGCAGACAACCATTCTCGCTTCCGGTTGACTGCCATGCATAGAATGCGTACGCGTATGCAGATTGGCGGGCACGTTATGCACCCCACGCGGCCACGTACCGGCGAGAAATCAATCTGGCTGCGTCTCTTTCGTTTCAGACAAGCCGCTCGGAAAAGTATTCGATTCGGCGCGCGCTAACTTGTGACGAAACACTCCCTGTTTAATTCCTAGAAATACTCGAGCTATCTTAAAGTCTAAGCGTTATATTTCGATCGAACGATTTGCGGAGATTATCGAACAACACGGAAATAAATGTAAAATGATGCGAATTTTCCCTCCGCATGATAATAGAACAAATAATTTCTCTATACGTTATAATTTTGCTTGTAGAAACTGTTTGGTCGGTAAGGCTTATCATATCAAAATCTCGGATTTCGGCACGGACAATGAACTGTACGCCTGCGATTACTACAAGGTCGATGGAACCATGCCGTTGCCGGTACGATGGATGGCATGGGAGTCAATATTTTTGGTAAGCTGTGACCTCAGCTATTTTATTCCGAATGGCGCTTGGCAATGTGTCGAGATTTATCGGTAATTCTCGAACCAATGCAGTCAGATGTCGAAATTCTCGAATAATGTACGTTAAATCTAATTTTCAGGGAAAGTATACGACCAAGAGCGACGTGTGGGCTTTCGCAGTCACCCTCTGGGAGATTTTGAATCTTGGCAGACGTGTCCCCTACGAACATCTGTCCGACGAAGAAGTGGTGCAGAGCCTGCGGCAACTGCATCATGCCGCTGACTGCAGCAACGCCAATCCCGAAGACAGTTGCAAGGAAGATCCTAGAAACGGCTTCGACTATCTGCCTCGACCCACCGCCTCCTCCAAAGACATCTATGATCTGATGCTCGAGTGCTGGCAACGAGAGGAGACTGAGAGACCGACTTTCCGTGAGATATCGCTCTTTCTGCAGCGGAAAAATCTTGGATACGCTCCAACGTCCTGATATTGAGCCCCGAGTTTCAACGAGCGCGACATTCTTAATAGTCATACAAATCGGAACAAGTTCGTTTCTGAAACGGAACGACGAGTGTACAATGACGGACAATGTTCTCATCCGAGGTACTGCAAGAAATAACGAGCGAATAATGATCGAGTGAGAAGGACTGAGAAAAGAAGGCGAGAGATACGATGAGAGGACGTATTACGACGTATCGCGACATCGAAACGATAAGTACAACAATGGAACTTTATTGTCCGTCAACGAAACAAGGCTTTGAAACTTGGAGTTTACGATAGAAATCGATCGTCCTTCTATTTCGTCTCCCCATTCATACATGTACTTTTTTCGGACAACGAGTATTAGCAGACAGGAAATAAAGTTAGAATAGGTAGAAGAGTTAAGTGCGAGTTGAATCTTTGAGAATCTTATGATACGGGATTTGTTGAACTACAAATAGTTCAAGGTATCGCGTGTCGCGTACAACTGATCTTCGTAGAATTCTCAGTAGCGAGACTGTTCAAGCATATCTAATCGATTTAGGACACGAAGTACGGATCTCGACGCGAGTATTCACGGCAGAGTATCATGCGAAGATCTCTACTGGAATAAATCTATTAGGACTCTTTTCGAAAATGTAAGAAAAGACAAGAACGGACGCGAATTTGGGAACACGACAATCGAACGAGAGCGGAATAAAAAGAGTTCGTCGTAGATAACCGCTCGGCAAAGAATCTCTGAGGATATTTGAAGGAGATTGGACGTTTGTGAGATAATGAAAACTGAGGAGAATTCTCTCATCGGGAACTTAGGAGCAATATCATGTAACTGTAATACAGTTGTGAACATTCCTGCACGGATAGGTAACCTATACTGCGCAATTAGACAATTACGCAAATAGGAAGAATCGTTACTTAAAGATTAAGGCTCCTTCGGGATTATATCATTTTGATTAAGGGTTCGATGAGAAATGTGTAAATCACATTGACGTACGGCAATATAGCAGCTACGATATTAGACGCTACGACTGTTCGAGTTAATATCGTAAAGCATTATAACTGTATTTTATGAACGTGTGGGTGCCTATTTCTCCCTTTCTCTTTATCGCTCTCCTTTACTCTCTTTCAACATATATTGGTATCGTCCCCAGACACTCTGGGCCTATTTGTGAGACGAATCTACATGTGATTTACATCGTGAAATCCTTTATCGTCATAAGACATATCGCGAAATGGCGAAATAATTATCGTGACGCATCAATGAATTAGCCGATAATAAGGAAATTAAACGTCTTTTTAACAATACTTTCGGTTCGTATCTAAACAGAGATTTATGTGAAACGTAATACATGTGGGAATACTGAATAACTTCAAAAGCAGTTAAGTGACTGTAAAGATTTCTCGATAATACATGTTTATTCGAATGTAACTACTGTAATCACAGTTAATGTGAATGAGATTTGTTGTCATAACTGATGAATATCATACGTCGTAAGCGTAAGATAGACGAAGGGTAACGTTTTACCTATTCTGCATTGGAAGATGGTAATAGATTACGTATCATGACTATGACACATCATAATTGTAACTTTATATGATAGGCGGGATCAATGAAATTAGAATATTGTATATATAGGCGTATCGTAGTAAGGAGCGTTATTATTACATTTTTTCAAGAATGACGGGAGAAAATCGAATTGTCTTTGAGATAGCGCCACACGCGCTCGCTTGTAATTTGGTATTAATGTGGAAACGATGGCAATTGTTTAGCTTCCGGTAAGTTATATCCATAGCAAGTGGTAATAGGTTAACGAAAGTTTAACATATCGGAATGTTCTTATAAAATTTAAAAAGGGAAAATGCGCGAAGGAAAGAGCGAATTGTAATCGCTTTCAAACACATTGAAATTAACGGGCTTATGTCCGTTGCGCGTTTTCATTGTACTCGACTTCGATAATATATTTCGATTGATTTTAAGTTCCGTGTATTTATACCAGATGGACACTATTGTAACTTATGCGATATTTAGCGGATAGACGATGTTACCGTTATATCATTAAAATACTATTTATATAAATTAACATAATATACCACGTAAGGAGTAGAGACGGTACGGAGGCATAGCCATACGTAGTTAAAATATACGCGTTGAATTTAAACGTAACTGGAATTGCTTCTATATCACCGAAATCGAGATCGTCTAAAGCGAGTGGAAGAGAATTATAACTAATGCGAATTCGCGTATAAATTTACGAGGTAAGAAATAGGCAATACCAATTTTTGATCTTGCCAGAAGTAAATAGTAATAGCCAATCGATTAAGCCTAAGATCGTTAAGTCTAATTTACATTTTGCATAAAAGTATCGGATGATCAACAGACATAATTTCGTGTTATCGCGAAACGTTTTGGCCAATCGATTTTTCGCACCGATTGTGACTGAGTTGAAACACAATAATATTATCCATCTCTCTCGTTGGTACATTTTTAGTCCGAAGCAGACTGCCATTATATTTCTAGATGATAATAGAAAATGAATTGTAGTTGCGTTTAGATTCGCCAATATAAGCATAACGCTGCCTTTGGCTATATTGTTGCCCTTTACTGCTAACGAGTAACTTACTTGTCTACTCATGTGATAATTTAGTATATTTCTACGTATCTACCTGTACCTACCAATTCAAAAATCTTCATGGCGAAAGGATTATTCCAAATTACTTTGTTTTTACTATAAATTGTAGTTCAGACAAAATATTATCTATAATCAATTCTATATTAATAAAAATCTGAAAGGCAGAATAATTATGAAGAATGATGAGAATACAGATCCTACGTTAGGATCTAGCAGCTTTATATAAATCCAAAACGCAGCTGCTCCATAATTTATTAGTTAGTGGCGTTAGTGAAATAGGATAATATACTCTTAAAGAAAATATGCGTAATCCTTTCTCTATGCAAAGATTCGCTATTATAATCTAGATAACTTACTTCTACCTAGCGTGCCCTTTTTCCATTGATGGTTAATTATATTCTTTGTGAACAATTCGAGCTCTATCAATGGCATCAATGAAGTAAATGTTTGGAACTGCAGTAACAGGGACGAGTAAAAATATTTTGTTCGAGCATTGTGAGGTACGAACACGCTAGATTCTTATGAAATTTAATTTTTTGAAGACCCTATTATATATTGATAAGCTCGATTTCAAATATTATTTTAATTGCAATATTTCCTTGTCATTCAACTATATACATTGCTGATTTCTTCGATATACATTTTAAATGCGTATTATTGACAATCACGCTTGCCTCGGAATTTAGAAAATACATTTAGCATCAATCGCGACTTTTTTAAAATACGATTACAACTAACAGAATTGATATTTTATAATTTATAAAATATAATAATTTAAGACTCTTCTTATGATCTCTTCTTTATCATAAATCTTAATTCTCGAAAGCAAATATAATTTTATTAGCGCGAAGGGAAATATTAGGTTTCTTATACGTATAACAACCAAACAATATGCTAATAAAAACAATTTCAATTACGATGTTTTCAAGATAGAAACGAACGTTATACTCCATTAAAGATGAACGTTATAACTCCATTAAACTACATAATGATATGCATTAATATCGTCATTAATATTATGCATTCGCGTATATTGTATACGATGTTATGCTTAATTTAGAAATCATTTCAGATGAATTTAAACTGCATCGTACAAAGTGGTATATCATTATGATTAAAAGATTATGGCAATGAAATTGATATATTTATAATCGTTGATAAATTTTTTCTTTCGTGCACGAGCGAAATATAATTTCGATATACCATATTGTTGACCTCTATGGTGGAATTGCGAGGAATTTACAGGTAATCGTGGATAAACTGAGGAAGAGCTCATCTAGTTGTATTTTCTATCTAGGTAGGGGCAACATTCACACGGCTATATCACTCGGCTACGTATTGCACACTTTTGGACATTTCCTTCCTAAAAAATTATCCGGTAGACGAAATTCTCAGGATTAACACAAAAAGTCTTCGATCTTCAACAAGAGAATTGCAGCGAAACTGACCATTGGCCACGGTGAGTTGCCCATGCCTGTTCTACGCTATCAAACCTTGATCGTTATAGTCATAAAATTATTTTGTACTAAGAACTGTTTATAATTTTGTATCTAATCTCTGTAAATATCAAGCAGATTGTCTATGAGTAATAAAGCTTGAACAAACTCGATTTAAGTAGACTATATATAAACGGGGAAAAAAGTATATATATATATAAATATATATAAATACAAGTATTTATAATACATTTATATTTTATTTAGTCGTAAGGCAGCGAAGAGATGTAAGTAAATTTCGCGTGAGCGGATCGGTAATGTAACAATGTACAACGATCTAGAAATTATTTGTATTATAAAGACGACAATTAAGGGACAAATCATAAAACTATACATGTTACTCCGTAGCCGTGTATATATATACATATACTATACATCTAGAATCTACCTAGTCATGTACGACACTTTATAACAATTAAAGTGTATCCCTGACAACAAATGCAAAATGCAACGTGTGCTGTTCTTTGACTATTCTTGCTTGAATAGAGATAAAGATAACAGAGAATACTGATGCGGTCGACAACCATCGAGGAGAGGTTGAACTTTTCAAGCGAAGTATCAATTTCAATTTCGCCACAAAGTTCGCTCGTCTCGATTATATCGCTACATATAAGGTGCAGGTAAATTCTACCGAATTCGTAAACTTTTGTGCGTCGTAGACCTGAACACATCATTTATATAACTTACATGTGTATATCATTAAAGAAACAACATACAACTTGTAAGTTCCATTATCCATTATTCATGAAGCACAACGATAAAATCTATTTGTATTGGAAAATCGAAGTCATATCACTTATTTCACGGAATTCCTATCATCCCACAAACTCAATTTGCATCACATTACATTGCTAATCAATAATTGCATTAAAATACAATGCATGTAGCTTAAAAAGAACAAAGTTTTTTTTTTGTTTTTTCGTTGCAAATCACAATTTCTTATATTCTTTTTTTGCCGTATTTTATTTCCTTATAATTCATATTCATTCTAATTCCCGCTTTTTCCTTCAGGATATCTATCGAGAGGGCGTTAGGTTTGCAAGCTACATGACTGTACGACTGGCAGATCACTAATAATATTCATTTGATGTTTATATGAACGAATGAATGAATCTCATCAAACATAACAATTATATAATGTTCGAATTTTTAATTGTTTATTTAACTATAATAAACTGAAGAAATGATAACTTTGAGAATTTTAAACTTGAATCGCAAAAATGAATGATTCATTGTGGGAAAATTGTAAATAAAGTGAAGTGAATTGAAAATTGAATGAAAATGTTGCTGCATACGTTACATATGTATAAAATGAAAAAACAACTATATGAAATGTTTGCAAAAACAAGATAACTTATAAATTTACAAAAAGAGAAAAAAAAGAAAAAAGTATGTTTTTTACACGTCTTTGTTCCAAAGGAAAAATTATAACATTTACAAAAATTAAATTTAGGACATTTTTACAAATAAAGATCCTTGTAAAGACCCTACATATAATCAGAGTCTAGTCACAACGTAGTTTTGTTTATGATTGGTCCGACATTTTTCTTCAATTCGCTGCAGTTGTTTGAAATGTATTTTATTATCTAGCATTTCTTAACGATGAATTGTTGCAGAAAAATGCTAGCGCATCCAATCATTTTTACTGAGAAAGAAATGCTTATACATATTTAAATATTATACAAAATCGAGAAAAAGTTGAACCACATGGAACTACGGCTCCACATAACTTTCGCAACGCTCGCTTACATTGTTTGTCCTTGTTTAACATTTGATAAACAACAAGGACGAAAGGATTCCACGAGTGTGTGAGCCTTAAATGAAACGCAGCCTACGTATATTCACCCCGTGTTTACATATGTTCGCCAGGAACTATGAAACTTATAGAGTTGCCACATTTACAGTGCCACTGCAGAGTGAGTAAGAGTGAGATATCACATCTTTCTCTCGCACAATCTTGAAGAAAAATGTCGGACATTGTTGTGGTTAGACTCCAATTACAGGGTCTTTATTTACAAGTACATTTTCATATATATAACAAAACTTAAAGTTATCTGATATGATTGATGTAGACATAGATATGTTTTATATTATACCACCAAATGGTGAGATACCGCTTTATATTTTGGAAGATTGTGTTTTGACTAGATTAGATTATTTGAGGCTCCTAAGTGAAGGATCTGCTAATGAATTTGATGGGAAATTTGAATACTTATTAGAAAATTCTACCTACGATAAAATTGGACATTTTGTATTACGGTAAGTATAAGTTAGAATTTTATATAATAATCTTTAATAATTAAATATAATTTGAATATTTAAAGAATAAGTAATATACAATTTTAAAAAGTTCATGTATCTAAAATAAAGGAATTAAACACAGATAGAACTATAAAAATCTGTATTCCTAATTAATTAACCATTGCTGTTTATCTCGTTTTAGGTTATTAGCTTCTACATCGTCAGATTTATGTATATATTGGATTGGCAAAGAATCATTATTATTTAAACATAGATTAGATAGTCTATCACCTAGACGATTCCATAAATTATTAAAGCAAATTACATGGAAACTGCAAATATTTAAAAATAAGAAAAGTGCAATTGACACAACTCTGATTGAGTTATGCAAATTTTATTTGCAGCCCTTAGTTTTTAAACATCTGACATCAAATTGTCAGGATTGCGATAATTTTCGATATGAAAGTATGAATACAGAATATTACTTGTATATAAATTTTCAAATACACAAACTAATATTTCTTATTTCATATTTCAGTGAGATTTGAAATAGTACCAGACTTGGTGAAAGAAAGGGAACTAGTCCTTAATAATGGAAATGTCATCACGCATTGTTCAGATTGGAAAAAAGTACTTCGATTATTATTTAGTAATTATGTAATCAATGAAATAAATATCATGAAGAGAGAGTCGCAACATATCATAAAACATGATCTTAGATTCCACATTTTAAATCAGAAAATTCAATCCTATCTCTTCAAGAAAGGTATTGCTCATGGAAAAGTAACTATTGATAACATAGAAGCAGAAGCACAAAAATTTCCATTATGTATGCAACATTTGCATTCTCTATTAAGAAGAAGACATCGTCTCAGTCACTATGCGCGTTTATACTACAGCCTTTTTCTAAAAGAAATAGGGATGACCCTAGAAGATTCAATTGTATTTTGGAAGCAAGAATATTCCAAGCCACATACTTGTACTTCAGTATGTTCACACAATTGGCAATCTAATGAGAAAAAATTCATATATAGCATCAGGCACATGTACGGTTTAGAAGGATCGCGAAGAACTTACAAGACACCTGACTGCAATCTCATTTGTGTAAGTACAAAAATGTCACACATGCACACAAAGTCTTTTCTAATCTACATAAACTTTATTATTAGAATTACTTTTTCAAACATCGAAATCTGATTGCAGGTTGGTATTAGTGGAGCAACATACGAGGGTGGTTGTCCTTTCAAGGATTTTGATACAAATGTACTCAGAAATCTTTTACACACTTCATTAAATGAAGATGAAATTGAAAAATTTATAAATAATGTATCTACTAAAGATCCAGAAATTCTCTGCACTACATTTTTGAAACTCATACGCAAAAATGACATTAACGATGTCATT